ATTTGGTGTTCAGTGTGTCAAATCTGTTCTTCAAATGGTCTCTGAATTCAGCTCAAGGTCATATTTTGGTCTCGTGGAGTTATTTTAATTGTCTTCAGCTTCAGCTTGAACTTCATAGGAGCAGTTGATGGTCTGTACCACAGTCAGCCCCTGGCTGAAGATACTGGCCTTCTCCATCACCTCTTTCCACAGATGTAGCTGATCTGATTCCTGTGTACTCCATCTGGCCTAAGTCCACGTGTATAGTTGCTGTTTATGTTGTTGAAACAGGGCATTTGCAATGAATAAGTCATTAGTCTTGCAAAATTCTATCATGGGATCTCTGACGTCATTCTATCACCAAGGCCAAATTTCCAACTACTGGTGATTCTTCTTTGTTTCCAGTTTTGAGTTCCAATCATCAGTAGTAATCAACACATCTTGACTGCGTGTTTGGTCAATTTCAGACTGCAGAAGTTGGTAAAAATCTTCAATTTCCTCATCTTTGGCTTTGGTTATTGGTGTGTAAGTTTGAATAATAGTATATTAATTGGTCTTCCTCATAGATGTATGGATATTATCCTATCACTGACAGCATGTACTTCAGGACAGATCTTGATACATTCTTTGTGACAATGAATGCCATGCCATTCCTCTTCACTTTGTTATTCCCAGTATAGACCATATGGTTGTCTGCTTCAAAGTGGCCAAAACCAGTCCATTTCAGTTCACAAAAACTCCCTGGCATTGAGTTGGATACAACTCATAGCGACCCCTCCTTGGGCTTCCGAGGCGATATCACTAATGCCTAGGATAGCGATCTTTATGCGTTCCATTTCATTTCTGACAACTTCCAGTTTTCCTGGATGCATGTCCATGTTCTGATTATTAATAGACGTCTGCAGCTGGTTTTGCCGTTTTGAGCCGTGCTTTCTCCACCGCTCATCCGTCAGTTTGTCTTATTGTGGTGTCTTACATGTTGCTGTGAGGCTGGAGGCTATGCCACTGGTGTTTCAAATGCCAGTAGGCTTACCCATGGTGGACAGGTTTCAACGGAGCTTCCAGACTAAGACAGATTCGGAAGAAGGAAGGGGTCATCCACTTCTCAAAGAATTGGCCAGCGAAAACCTTATGAAAAGCAGAAAAACACTGTCTGATCTGATCTATTACTGGAAAACTTTACGAACAGCCCTGAAACATTGTCCAATATAGTGCCGGAAGATGAGCCCCTCAGGTCGGAAGGCGCTCAAAATTTGACTGGGGAAGAGCTGCCTCCTCAGAGTAAGTCGCCCTTAATGACGTGGACGGAGTAAAGCTCTCAGGACCTCCATTTGCTGATGGGGCACAACTCAGAATGAGAAGAAACAGCTGTTTAGCCTTTGGGGAGGATTTTGTCTTTTAACTATTTTATCTTATTGGTGAAAATACACACACAACACACAGGATTCAGCCATTTCTCGATGCACAGTTCAGAGATGTGGGTTACCATTACAGCCGGCCCCCCTCATGCTCCCCGGTTAACATAAACTCACTGCTCCCTACCCTTATCTAACCTTTGACCTTCTGTGGTCGACGGGATCCCATATTAAGAGGGAGGGTCTGTAGTGGTCCGAGGGAAATGGGCTGTCTCGTTGTAACGTATGGATCTCAGATCACACATATTTTTGTCTGTTTGGCCTTCCGGTTAGATGGTGAGTTCTTTGGTGGCAGTCTGGGTCTCTGTCAATCCCACCTAAGGTGGCGGGAGGGGAGCTGAGCTGGCGGTCTGCAGCTGTCCCTGGTCTCAGGCCCCTTTCTGGCCTCCTCCCCAGTGGCGGCCCTGCAGGCTGAGGTGGAGACCCAGGCCCTGCGCCTCTTCTACATGCAAAACATAGACGAAGACATGCGCAGCAACATCTGTGTGATGAAGCGAGTCGTCAAGAAGGCCGAGACGGAGAGGATACAGGCCGAGGTGGAGAAGAAGAAGCAGGTAGCCCGCAGATTCACCACGTGGCCGGTCACAGAACGCTTCGTTTTCAAACAGGTGCTCCGCTTTGCCACTTGCTACAGCCCTGGTGGCACAGTGGTTGCAGCACTTGGCTGTGAACCGAAAGGTAGGTGGTTTGAGTGCACGAGCCGAATTAGGGGAGAAAGAGGAAGCAGTTGGCTTCCGTGAAGATCGACAGCCTTGGAGACCCTGTGGGGCAGTTCCACTCTGTCCTCTAGGGGACACTACAAGTTGGGAATTAAGCACCAGCAACAAGTTTAGGTGGGTTTTTTTTTTCTTGGAGCACTATGGCCTGGAGGTCAGGGCCAGGCTTGGTTTCCAGGCACCACCATAATGAAAACACCACAAAGGGGGGGTTTGAAATAACAGCACTTTCTCTCGTTACAGTCTGGGGGCTGGAAGTCCAGATTCAGGGTATTAGCAGGTGTGGGCCCCTCCCGCCCCGTCGGCTGTAGGGGAAGACCGTCCTTGTCTCTGGCAGCCTCGGGAAGCCCCCGCTGCTTTCCGGCATTCCTTGGCCTATAGACAGACCATCACGTGGGGTCTACCCCATGTCTGTTCTCCTTTTCCATTGACGCCACTCAGCTGGAACTAGGCTTAGGACCCACCCCACTGCCATATGACTCTTGTCTCAGCTCTCCAGTGGTGCTATGACAGAATTACCATGAATGGGGGCTTTAACCAACAGAAATTTATTCTCTCTCAGTTTAAAAACAAAAACAAAAAAACACTGCCATCCAGTCAATCTGACTCATAGCAACTCCTCCTTGGGTTTCCGAGGCGGTATCTCTATGGAAATAGATTGCCCAACCTTCCTTCCAAAGAGTGGCTGGTAGGTTTGAACCACCAGCCTTCTGGTTAGCAGTCAGATGCCTTAGGCACAAGTCTGAGTTCTGAGTGCCGGCTCTAGGGGATGACTTACTCTCTGCATCTCTCGTTCCTAGGAGACCCCTGCGCAGGAACTCTAGGTCCAAAGGACGCTCTCCACTCCCAGCTCCCCTTTCTAGGTGGTAGGAGGTCTCCCCCCACTTCTCTCTCCTTCCATCTCTTGTAAAGTAGAAGGTGCTGCAGGCCACACCCCAGGAAGCTCCCCTTACATCGGATGGGGGCTATGATGGGCTGACGGAGTCGCTCCGCCCTCAGTCCTCTCACACCTGGTACCTGCCACATTGCACCATCACGTAACCTCTCAACTACTGAGACTCATGCCCAGCCAAGTGGACACAAAGTCTGGGGGGACACAATTCCGTCCATGACAACTTCTTAATGTAACAAAAGAGATCTTTGGAGCAAGGTCACGTCCCTGGAGCAATGATAAAGGAACCAGCACAGCTTTCTGGGGGACACAGTTCAAACCACGGTGCCTGGTTGGCCAGCCCTCCCTAGGGTTGGTGGAGAACGGCCCCTCAGGTGGGGACATGTCCCTACTGGGCATCTTCTCTGCTTGTTCCCCAGGACCTCTATGTGGACCAGCTCGTCACCAGAGCCAACCAGCTGGAAGAAAACATCACCCTGTTTGAGGCCAAGTATCTTGCCCAGGCTGAGGACACCCGGACCTTGCGGAAAGCAGTGTGCGAGGTAAGAGCCACCCTGCAGCCCTCACGGAGAAGCGTCCCACTGGCTGGCTGCTGCTGCACAGGGCAGGCCGTCACTCATGCCACTGGATGAAGGGCTGTAACTGAGGGTTACCTGAGGTTAGGAGCCAGGCCTCCCCCATGAGTCCACCTTCTGAAGCATCTCAGAGTACCGGACCCCCCACAGTGGGGACATTGTAGACAGGACTGGGGGATGGCCAGGAGTCCCGGGGTGACAGACGGTTAAACACTCACCTACCAGACGAAAGGTTGAAGGTTTGATCCCTCCCAGAGGCACTTCGGAAGGAAGACCCTGCAATCTGCTTGCAAGAGGTCACAGCACTGAGACCCCATGCGGCCACATCTGCTCTGCACACGTGGGGTCACCACGGGTCAGAATGAGCTTGATGACAACTCACAGAGCGTATCCTATTCCCCGACAGCCTGGTGTGGCCTGGAAGGACCACCAGGGGTTCAGAGTCCCTGTTCTAGTCCCTGTTCGCTCCCTCCACGCGGGGGTTGCAGCGAGGAACTTCCCGACATGGGCCTCTCCTCGGGGGCCTTGACATCTGCCTGACAACTCTTAGCTCCTGGGAAGTGTCGTTCTCGGGCGGTGCTCGTGTTTCTGCCCCATGTGGAGGGAGGGAGGCCAGGTGACCAAAGGAGGAAGCTGGCTCCGTGGTGGCCAGTGTACAAACCAAAGACCTCGTGGCTCCGTCTCTAACCTGTGAGTCACCTGCACCCAGGTGTACAGGAGTGATATGAAGAAGATGTTAAACTTTTACTGAAAGAAAGGAAAGGGGACTTGGATGAGGGGGAACTGGCTGTCACAAAGCTGCCAATCGTCCCCAAGCCATAAACATAGAAAGATTGCTATCGTCCAGTTGGCCCCGACTCACGGTGACCCCCTGGCCAACAGACAGAAGTGCTGCCTGGTCCATAGCATGGCTTCTGTGCCTGTCCATCCCACCAGGAGACCCCCTTGCTGTCCCCACCCTCCACCACACACGAGGTCTAGCTGTGATCCTGCCTGGTGAAATGTCCGCAGCAAGCGAGGTGGACAGTGTCCCCGTGACCCACAAGGTTTGCACTGGCTGATGTTAGGACGTCGGTCCCAGGCCTTTCAGGAAGCCCTGCTGAAGCCTGTCCACACGGGGGACCCCTCTGGGCTCTGAAATCTCAGTGACAGAGGTCTAGCCTCGCAGCCTTGGAGACCCTGTGGCAGTTCCACTCTGTCCTCTAGGGGCGCTGTGGGTTGGAATGGACTCCACGGCAGTGGGTGTGGTTTGGGCTTTGCTTCTGTGAAGACTGACAGCCTTGGAAACCCTGTGGGCAGTTCCACTCTGTCCTCTAGGGACGCTGTGGGTCAGAATCAACCTGACAAAGAAAACTAAAAACCAAACTCACTGCCACTGAGTTGATTCCGACTCACGGCGACCCCACTGTGTTTCTGAGGTGGTAAATCTTTACAGACGTAGATTGCCCAGTCTTCCTTCTGCGGAGTGGCTGGTGGGTTTGAACCACCAGCCTTCTGGTTAGCAGTCAAATGCCTTAGGCACTGCACCAGAGCTCCTGACAGCATATAAAATATGGAGCGACAGGGAGAGTCACTTCAAAGGACTGGCTCACACAGCTGTGGGGCTCCAATGTAAAGCCCTAGGAGCCTCCTGTGGGCTTGCAGCCCGGTATCCACAGGTCAGGGACAGGAAGGGCGCACTGAGGGACTGCGCTCTGCCAAATATCCACTTCCAGGCAGGCCACCCCCGAGGAGGCCCTGACCCAGACTGACGTTACATTAGGGAGTGTGGCTGCATTAGGTTACACACGGAACAGCAGCTGGCCCAGTGTTTGGCCGGACCCTGGGAACCTCGGCCTGACACAGAGTGAGCCAGGGCAAGAGGGGAGGAGTCCGAGAGGGGGCGCCGGGGCTGGGGCTGAGACTGAGTGCTGGCTTGCCCCTCGCAGGCCTGCACGGAAATCGAGACCATCAGCCTGGAGAAGAAGCACATCCTGCAGCAGTGGTCCACCAGCCTGGTGGGGATGAAGCATCGCGACGAGTCCCACAAGACCATCCAGGAGGCCCTGAGGTGCGGGCGCCACGCGCAGGGCCGGGCGGGGCCCCTCGCCAGTGTCCCGCGCTGCCTGGAAGCTCCCCATTCCCAGTGCTCGCCAAGGCGTGGGGAGGGCAGCAGCTTTCATGTTTGGACCCCCTGGGGGTTGAGGGGAGACCGTCAGGGGAGACTGGGATATTTATCACCAGGGATAAGGGTCATCCTCTGTGCAGCCTCACCCACCGTGTGCAGAGCACCCTGGCTTTGCCCTTCCTTGTCCTGCCGTGGTGCAGCCAAGAGCCTCTCTCTCCATCTCTGTGTGCTGTGGGTAGAGGACCCTTCTGGAGCCCCTTCCTCTCACGGCAGGACAGTCCTGTGTCTTCCAGCAGGGCTGGAAGCAGAGGGTGTGTTCTGGTCCCTGGTGCCGCTCTGACAGGAGTATACCACCAATGGGAGGCCTGATCAAACAGGAGTTTATTCTCTTATAGTTCGGGAGGCTAGAAGTCCGAGTTCCAGGTTGCCACGCTCTAGAGCCTGTGTGAAAGCCCCTCAACCTTGGGCTTCAGCTCTGCCTCTCTTGCTCCCGGCCCACTGAAGCTGGAGGCATCTCTTCACTCAGGCAGCTACTGGCTGCTGAGGCTGACAAGCCCAAGGTTGACAAGTAAAAAGGCACAGTCCCGGTATTACCAAACCATACGGTAGGCTATTGATTGAAATTCAGAAAAAGCCCTAAGATCAGCAGGGCACGGCAGGCTGCTGAACGATGACACGGCTACATGCCGGGTCCAAGTGTGCCATAAGCTGTAGACCATTCCCAACGCTTCTCCTTGTATGCGGGAAGCAGACCACATCCCTAAAGCAGCCACTCAGCTGCTCGTGCAGATCCCACCATGAGCTGATTGCCAGTCTCATCATGGGAATAACCACCACCAGCTGCCCAGCCGCTCAGCCAGGCCCAGCCAAGCTGACACACAGCCTTAACTCCCACAGGGTGCTTCCTGGCACCACAGGGTTCGTGCCTTAGGTCCCAACCAGTGGCAACGTGGGCACCCCACGTGGGTCAGCGCAGAGCTGTGCTCTGTAGAGCCGTCAGGGCTGACTGTGCAGAAGCCTCTTCCCAGGCTCCTCAGGGTGGCCCTGGGCCTCCAGCCTTCGGGTCAGCACCAAGAGCATTAACCGTTGCCTCACCTGGGGACCCCTTGGTCTGTCCCTTCAATGGAACTGCTCTCAGGCATAAAGAGAAGCACGGGTGACGAACACACGGAGCTCACGGGTGCCAGACGCACAGGGACAGAGCCTGGGTGACGAACACACAGAGCTCACGCGTGCCAGACGCACAGGGACAGAGCCTGGGTGCTCCCGCTCAGTGCCGTGTAGAACAGGCTCACGCCTGGGACCACGGCTGTTAGTGGTCGTCAGGGTCGCGGCACGGGGAGGGGAGTGACTGCCCAAGGGGCGCGTTCCGTCTGGGGTTGAAAAGGTTTGGAAGTGGACAGTGGTGGTGGTTGCACAACAGTGTGGTTGTAATGAACGTCACTGAATTGTACACTTAAAAACGGTTATTAAAAGGCAAATTCCATGCTACATGTATTTTACACAGTTTGAAAAAAAAGGAGGCACTGGCCGCCTGCAGGCCGAGGGCAGCTTTCCCTGTTGCCCCACACAGGTGCGTTAATGCCCCCCAGTCAATGAGACTGTCACCAGCCTGAGTTCCTTCCAAGGTGTGGCACTGGGGTCCAGCTCTGCGGGCTTATGGCCTGTGCCCCAGGGGACCCCGGGAAGCAGGCACACCCCGTTGTTCAGCTCTCCTGAGCTGTTCTCCTGCTGTCCCTGCCTCCAGGCCACCTGGCTGTGTCCTATGTGTCCCCAGAGACCTGGCTTTCCCATCACCTCATTTCCTCCACTTCTGTTATTTAATCACATGGTTAAAATCCTGCCTTTGTCTCACTTGTGCCTGGAAATCCGGGAGCAGGCATGTCTCCGCCCCACTGGCCAGGAGCCCTTGTTCAAGGGGCAGACCTCTGGGCTGTGGCCCTGGCTGTGGGCAGCTGGCTCAGGGGCCTGCAGGGACCCAGGCCACTCCCCCTGTGTGTCCATCCCAGATTCCAGATCCCACCTGCCTTTCCCAGTTCTTTCCTGTTGTTGTCAGGTGCTGTCAATCGTCTCCAACCATAGCAACCCTACACACAGCAGAACGAACCTCCGCCCGGGCCTGCGCCAGCTCCGCGGTCCTTGCTGCACCTGAGCCCTTCATTGCAGCCACTGCGTCATCCGTCTCCTCAAGGAGGGCCTTCCCTTTCTTTTTTGTTGACCCTCCACCCTACCAAGCATGACATCCTTCTCCAGGGAATGGTCCCTTCTGACCACGTGACCAAAGTAGGTGAGACGAAGTCTGGCCATCTCGCTTCCGAGGAGCGTTTTGGCTGCACTTCTTCCAGGACAGACCCGTTAGTACTCTTAGCAGTCCATGGTACTTTCAGCATTCTTCACCAACACCACAACTAAAGGCATCAACTCTTCTTCAGTCTTCCTTATTCATTGTCCAGCTCTCGCATGTATATGAGGTGACTGAAAATACCACGGCTTGGGTTAGGTGCACCTTAGTCTTCAAGGGGACATCTTTGCCCTTCAGCACTTGAAAGAGGTCTTTTGCAGCAGATTTGCCCAATGCTGTACGACGTCTGATGTCTTGACTGCTGCTTCCATTGTTGATTGTAGAACCAAGTAATATGAAGTCCTTGACAACTTCAATCTTTTCTCCATCCACTATGAAGCTGTTTATTGGACCAGTTGCAAGGATTTTTGTTTTCTTTATATTGAGGTATAATTCATATTGCAGACTGTAGTCTTTAGTCTTCATCAGTAAGTGCCTCAAGTCATCCTCACTTTCAGCAAGCAGAATTACATCATCTGCATATCGCAGATTGTTAATGAGTCTTCCTTCAATCCTGATGCCACACTCTTATTCATATAATCCAGCTTCTTGGATTATTTGCTCAGCATATAGATTGAATAAGTAGGGTGAAAGGATACAATCCTGACACACTCCCTTCTTGTTTCTAAACCATGAAGCAGCCCCTTGTTCTGTTTGAACGACAGCCTCCTGGCCTCATGAGTACAATCAAGTGTTCTGGAATCCTCATTCTTCTCAATGTTCTCCATAATTTGTTATGATCCACACAATCGAATGCTTTTGCATAGTCAATAGAACCTAAGTAAACATCTTTCGGGTATTCTTTGCTTTCAGCTAAGATCGATCTAACATCAGCAATGATATCCCTCATTCCACATCCTCTTCTGAATCCAGCTTGCACTTCTGAAAGCTCTCTGTCAATATACTGCTGCAACCATTTTTAAATTATGTTCAGCAAGATTTTATCGTGTGTGATATTAATGACATTGCTCGATAATCTCCACAATCCGTGGGATCACCTTTATTTGGAATGGGTATAAATATGGATCTCTTCCAGTCAGTTGGCCAGGTAGCTGTCTTCCAAATCTCTTGGCATAACCGAGTGAGTGCCTCCAGCAGGGCATCCGTTTGTTGAAACATCTCAGTGGGTATCCTGTCAATTCCTGGAGCCTTGTTCTTCGGCAATTCTTTCAGTGCAGCCTCAACTTCCTCCTTCAGCACCACTGGTTCTTGATCATGTGGCACCTCCTGAAATGGATGAACATTGACCAGTTCTTTTTGGTCCAGTGACTCTGTGTATTCCTTCCATCTTCTCTTGATGTCCTGCATCATTCAATATTTTGCTGATAGAATATTTCAATGTTGCAACTTGAGACTTAAATTTTTTCCTCAGTTCTTTCAGCTTGAGAAATGCCGAGTGTGTTCTTCCCTTTTGGTTTTCTAACACCAGGTCTTTGCACATTTCATTATAGTAATTGGCTTTGTTTGCTGAGCTGTTCTTTGAAATCTGTTTAGCTCTTCTATCTTATCATTTTTTCCACTTGCTTTAGCTACTCTCTACTCAAGGGCAAATTTCAGAGTCTCTTCTGACATCCATTTTGGTCTTTTCTTCCTTTCCTGTCTTTTTAATGGCCTCTTGCTTTCTTCATGTATGATGTTCTTGATGCCATCCCACAATTCCTCTGGTTTTCAGTCATTGGTGTTCAATGCATCAAATGTATTCTTTAAATGGTCTCTAAATTCAGGTGGGATATTATCAAAGTCATATTTTTGCTCTCGTGGACTTGTTTTAATTGTCTTCAACTTCAACTTGAACGTGCATATGAGCAGTTGATGGTCCGTTCCACAGTCAGCTCCTGGCCTTGTTTTGGCTGAAGATATTGAGCTTTTCCATTGCCTCTTACCACAGATGTAGTCAATCTGAATCCTGTATGTTCCATCTGGTGAAGTCCACGTGTATAGCCATTACTTATGTTGTTGAAAAAAGGTATTTGCAATGAATAAGTCATTGGTCTTACAAAATTCTGTCATGCAATCTCCAGCATTATTTCTGTCACCAAGACCATATTTTCCAGCTACTGGTGATTCTTCTTTGTCTCCAACTTTTGCATTCCAGTCACCAGTGATAATTAACACATCTTGATTGCATATTTGGTCAATTTCAGACTGCAGAAGTTGGTAAAAATCTTTAGTTTCCTCATCTTTGGCTTTGGTGGTTGGTGCATAAATTGAATAATAGTAGTTTTAACTGCTCTTCCTTGTAGGCATATGGATATTGTCCTATCACAGACAGCATTGTACTTCAGGATAGATCTTGAAACGTTCTTTGTGACGATGAATGCCACGCCATTCTTTTTCAATTTGTCATTCCCTGCATAGTAGATCATATGGTTGCCTGCTTCAAAATGGCCCAAACCAGTCCATTTGAGCTCACTGATGCCTAGAATATCAATCTTTATGTGTTCCATGTCATTTTTTACAACTTCCAGTTTTCCTAGGTTCATACTTCATACATACCACGTTCTGATTATCAGTGGATGTTTGCAGCTGTTTCTTCTCATTTTGACATGTGCCACATCAACCAGTGGAGGTCCCAAAAGCTGTGCTCCATCCATATCATCACGGTCGTCTCCACTCTGAGGAGTCATCTCTCCCCAGTCGTGCTTTGAGTGCCTTCTGGCCTGATGGGCTCATCTTCTGGCCCTATATTGGACAGTGTTTCAGGGCTGTTCATAAAGTTGTCCAGTGATATATCAGACCGCTTTCCCTGCTATTCATGAGGTTTTAGCCTTACGGAACTTCTTTCCTAGCAGCGCCTAATAGCGAGGAAGTTTTTAAGTTTTGCATTCATTTTTTTAAAATAGTTTTCCTCCAGGCTAAGCGACCCCAGCACAGGAGCCAGGACAGACAGGGAGAGGGTTTAAAAGTGTCCCTGCTCTGTCCCCGTTGGTGGCACGCAGCCTTATCAGCACTTTGATTACTCGCAGCCTCTTCCCTTCATGTATGTGTCGTAAGTGGCGGCATCTCCACATGCGTGCATCGTAAGCGGCATTCAGAATACCGTCACCCAGCCTGTAACTGTGTTTGTAAAAGTCTTTTTGCTGTCGAGTTTCAGACACCTGTAAGGCTGCCACTACCCAGAAAATGAGTCACTTATTGAAGTTGGGCTTATTGGGGATAACTTACATAGACTACAATTTATCCTTTTTGTTTCATTTTAAAAATGTGTGGTTTTCTGTTCCTGAAAATGCACACAGCAAAACATGCCATCTCAACCATCTCTACACATGCAACTCAGGGACACAGGTCACGGTCCTCACGTTATGCAGCCAGTCTTTGCTAACAGGGGAGGGACCATTCGGCAAAGAACGGTGAGATCGGGGGCATGATTTTTTTAACAGTTCAGTGATCTCTGGCATGTAGGCAGAGGCAGTCACCCACTGGACCCTCACCCTATAGGGCATTCCCTTCACTCCAAAAGCCAGTGCCTTCCCTCCGCCTCCCGGCCCTGGCACCACACACCCATCTGCTGCCTCCATAGCTCTGGGCCTTCTAGAATGGCTATAAATGGAGCACACAGACCTAGCTTTGGGTCTCTGGCTTCTCTGACATAGCATAGTGCTTCCAAGACTCATTGGCATTGCAAGGTCAGAGGTTTGTCCCTTTTCACTGCCAAATAGTATTCCAAAGATCTGTCTTGGGAGAACTGCAGCTGGATTGCTCCTTAGAAGCGAGGATGTGAGTCTTCATCTCATGTGCCCTGGACACGTGATCAGGAGGGGTCAGTCCTTGGAGGAGGACGACATCGTGTTCGGTAGAGGGTCAGTGAACAAGGGGAAGCCCTGCAATGGGCAGGACCGACACAGTGGCTTCAACGGTGGATCAAGCATAGCGACGCTTGTGAGGATAGTGCAGCAATGGGCCATGTTTCGTTCTGTCGCGTGGGGTGCTCTGAGCCGGAACCGACTCGACAGCCCCTAACAACAACAGCACAACGGGGCTGGATTGCATGGACACACCACCATAGCCCAGCGCTCTGAGCTGACCTTGGCCACGGTGCCTGGCTGTGGTGTTGGTTCCTCCCTTCCCCTCCCCATAATCACAGACGGCTAAGTGGGTCCCCCGTGGGCACATCCTGCCGCTGTACTGGACAGCAGCCCCGATCCGGCTCCGTCGGAAGGAGCTTGTTTCCAGTTCCTCTCTGCATGGGATGCCGGTCCGTGAGGCGCCTGCGGGGGGCAGACACGCACGTTTATTTTCTGAGCTCTGCTCTCTCGGTTCGGCAGCGGATGCCAGCATCAAGTCAAGTCCATCGACGGGGAGATCGAAGCCTACAAGAAATCCATCATGAAGGAGGAGGAAAAGAACGAGAAGCTGGCCGGCATCCTCAACCGGGTGGAGACCGAGGCCAGCCTCATGCGGAAGCTGACCGCCCAGTGCCTGGCCAAGCAGGAGGCCTTGCAGAACGAGTTCAACACCTACCGGCTGGCCCTGCAGGACACCGAGGACACCCTGGGCAGGGCCCACCAGGTGCCGCCATGCCCCCCAGGCCCTCCACGCTGCTGTCGGCCTGTGGCGGTGCCCCCCTAACAGCTTCCACCTCTCGGCTCTTCCAGGAGCACACAGCGGTGCTGGCGGAGCTGCAGGCCATCACCCAAACCGTGCAGAGCGAGCTGGACACGAGGCGGAAGATGGAGGTCTCCATCCTGGAGAAGCTGCAGGAGCACATGACCTCCAACAAGATGGCCAAGTACTTCACCCAGCTCATCGTCAAGCTGCAGAAGGAAAAGACCAACCTGGTATGCAGCCCCCACACCCAACAGCGGCCCCGACGTGCAGGCGGGCAGGAAGTCCCGCCCCTCAGCCGGAAAGGCTACAGGAAGAGGCCCCCTCCAGGCCCCAGGTTATGGGCCCATGGGGGTCAGCCTGGCCACAAGGGCCCTCCAGGTCCCACCCCTTGGGCAGAAAATGCTGCCTGTGGTCTCTACCCAGAGGCTCTGGTGGCGTAGTGCCTAAGGCATTTGACTGCTAATGAGAAGGCTGGTGGTTCAAATCCACCAGCCACTCCTCAGAAGGAAGATCGGGCAATCTACTTCCTTAGAGATACCACCTCGGAAACCTAGGGAGGGGTCGCTATAAATAAGATCTGACAGCACGGAGTTTGGTTTTAGTTTGTTTAGGCCCCAGGGTGGCTCAAATTAAGAGCTCAGCTGTTAACTGAAAGGTTGGTGGTTCAAACCCACCCGCTGGCTCTACAAGAGACAGAGCTGGCAATCTGCTCCCAGAAAGCTCACAGCCTAGGAAACCCTGTGAGGCAGTTCTCCTCTGTCACATGGGGTCTCTGTGCGTCGGAATCGACTCGGTGACACACAGGGGCGAGTCCCTGGACGGCGCAAATGGGTCAGCACGTAACCACCAGCAGAGAGGTGGCTGCTTCAAAGCCACCCAGCGACGCCCAGGTGACCTGCCTGCAGGGCCCAGCCTCGTGAAGCCAGTGGAGCGGCTCTCCTCTGCACGTGAGGTCGCTTCCAGTGGGTGGTGCAAACAGCACACTGAGCTGCTGACCCAAAGACTGGAGGTTCGAGTCCCCCTGAGGGCCTGGGAGATAGGCCTGGTGACCAACTGACCTCAGCCATGGAAGCTCCCCAGAGCGCAGCTCTGCTCTGACACACGTGGGCTCACCACGAGTCCAAATCAGCTGGACAGCGACGGGGTTGGTTGTGTTTGTTTCCACTGCAGTCTGGGCCTGGGGAAGGAGCCCCTGGGTGGCCCAAACAGGTAAGCACTCAACTACCAGCCAAAACAGGCCCAGCGATGCTTGTGAGAGGCCCCAGCCTCGGAGACCTGGGGAGCGGTTCTAGTCCGCGCATGTGGGGTCGCACATGGGGTCCCTGGGAGTTGGAATGGACTGGTCGGCAGCCGGCAGCAGGACGGACAGGCGGGCAGAGCAGGGCTTTAGTATGTTTAGATCGGGCATCTACTTCCGTAGAGAGACCGCCCACCTCGGGAACCCAAGGAGGGGTTACTATGAATCGGGATTGACTCAGTGGCAGTGAGTTTTGTTTTTTTTTCAGTCCATTTTCCATGTTTCACCCATCGTAGGAGCAATATGTCTGAATGGTAGGACACCTGGAAAGTACAGAAAAGTGGAAATATCAGAGACAGCTGTAATGCCACCAAGAGAGACAAACCCTCTTAGGTCTTATTTCCTTCCCCCAGGCCCCTGCCCATCCTGGGTCACTCGCTAAGGTCATGTGGTTACCACCGACCTCCAGCAGAGGGCAGTGCCGAGTGCTGGGGGAGGGACTGGGCGTCATCCCACCAGGTGGAAGTGGAGTGTCTTGGGAAGGGGACACCACTTCCTCGCTCGAAAGCCCAGGGCCATATCTGGGAAGGGGCGGAGATGGGGCCCAGAGGGAGGCCGGGCCCAGTCAGCGTGGGGTGTCAGTTAACTTGGGGGCGGTGCTGATGCCCTGCGGGGAGGCCAGGCTCAGCAAGGGGAGGAGACAGCTTGGGAACGGACCCTAGGGAGGGGACAGCCAGTGCTCTGGCTCATCTAGCTGGGCACAGTGGGTGTGAAATGCCAACAGGGGACCCAGAGGGGCGAGGGTCCCACTGTCTGTGAACTTAGGAACAGAGCCACCCGGCAGGGTGAAGCCCAGGAAGGGCTGGCCCCTTGGATGACCTTGGACGACCTTGGTAAGAAGGAGAGCAGGGTAGCCAAGCTCAGAGGGGCCGAGGGCCATGAGGCTGGAGGCTTCTGTCCCCAGCGGGGCAGGCTCTGGGCATTGAAGCCTCAGGTGTAGGAACAGAGTCATGTGGTGGCCGTCCCCAAGGCTAGGTGGGGACACAGTCAGCAGGTGCTCTGGGAGGAGGAGCTGGAATGGCCCGTGGGAAGGGCAGGGACTTGGTAGGAACCCAGGGACTGGGAGAGCTGAGGCCGGGAGTGGGAGCCGATGGCAGTGTGGACGGGGAGAGGCTGGGCGGTAAGTTAGAAACGCAGAGATGGGGGAGCTGAGGCGACTCCAGGGGAGGCTGTGTGCCCAGAGCAGAGGCAACGGGAAGACCCTGACCCCATCCTGGACCCGTCCCCATGCCATCCCCATGTCCCCGTTCCCAAATGCGTCTGGCTGCACTGTAGCGCTGGGAGCAACAGATGCTGGACTGTGACTTGTCACTTTTTCTTCTCCCAAATATCTTACAGTAAATCCTCTGTCCACGAAGTAATCTGTCATTCTCACCGAAAGAGCCAACAGGGACGGGCTGTCAGGCCTCCAGGGTGGCAGGAGGGCCACTGAGAGGCCTCAGCTCCTCCCACAGGGCCGATGGTCTGGCCCACCAGTGACCCGAGGGTGCCCCCAAGCCCAGGGGTCACGACCCCTGACCCTGGTCCAGATCATACCGCACTGTAGGATCCACTCTGCGGGACGGTCCAGCTTTTCAGTAACGTGTAGGGTGATGTGGCCCATAACTGAGACATAAAAGAGGTGGTCCTCGAGTGTCTCCTGCAGGGCCCTGTCCAGCAGGAATATTTACGGTAGGTTGCCAGGTGCGAGAGGGCACGATACCACGTGCCTAGAGCCGTGATGGGCCGGCAGAGGGCTGCCCAGTGGGGGAACAAAGGGCAGCGAGGTCTTGCTCAGACACTGTTGCAGCCACACAGCAGACTATCGCACAGCCGTTAAATGGACAGGACACAAAAATGTCAGACATGATTTCTTACAAAGCAGGTCACAAGCCACTGTGCAGAGCTGGGATCCCACGGGGGGTTTCGTTTTCTTGCGTTTTGCTTTTGTTTTCGGCTGTATGTGAAAACTAGAGGGAAGGACAGACCCCGCGTGGAGCATGACTATACAGCCGAATTACAGGTGACGAGCTTTGTCCCCCTTTCCCTCATCTCCACACTCACGTGTCCCTACAACGTGGGTTAGACCAGAGGCTGCTGAGTCCACCATGACCCGGGGCCACCCTATGGGTGTCAGAGAACCATGCTCTGTGGGCCAGGGCTGAGTCCACTGCGACTCAGGGCCACCCCGTGGCTGTCAGAGCACCGTGCTGCACGGGTTTTCGTGGCCGATCTGTGGAAGCAGGTCACCAGGCCTTTCTTCCGAGGCGCCTTGGGTGGACTCGACCTGCCAGCCTTTCAGTGAGCAGCGAGTGTGCTAACCGTTTGCACCACTGGGACTCTCCCCTGCTGTGTCACTACCTGCTTCATAAGAAAAGGCAACAGTGTCCCCTGTGTCTTAGTTATAGGCGTCACTGTGTTAGGTAGGCCCTCCTCTAGCAGGAGACAAAGCCGACTCCTGTCGGACACTCACTGGACTCTCTCCAGACAAACGTGCGGATGTTAGAGGAGACGCTAAGCCAGGCCTGTGCGCCGCAGGCTGCTGGAAGAACCAGAAGAGCTCAGACGTTCCTCTTACAACGCAGGTGACACATCTTTCCAAAATTGACGGCGACATCGCCCAGACCACCCTGAACATCACCAACACCCACTGCCGGCTGGACATGCACCAGAGGACGCTGGGTGAGCTGGACAAGGAGGTGAAGAGGCTTAACGACCTCATCACCAATAGCGAGAACGAGATCTCCCGGCGCACCATCCAGATCGAGAGGAAGCAGGAGCTCATCAACAGCTTCAACAAGCAGCTGGAGCAGATGGTCTCCGAGCTGGGGGTGAGAGCCGCCCCGGGCCGGGAGGGAGCCCCGCCCACAGGCCGGGCCGGGAGAGAGCACCCCGCCCACAGGCCGGGCCCTGAGGGAGCCCCGCCCACAGGCCGGGCCGGGAGAGAGCCCGTAACTCACAGGCCGGGCGGGAGAGAGGCCCCACCCACAGGCCGTGCCCTGAGGGAGCCCGTAACTCACAGGCCGGGCCGGGAGAGAGCCCCGCCCACATCCTGGGCCGGGCCGGGAGAGAGCCCCCGCCCACATCCTGGGCCGGGCCGGGAGAGAGCCCCTAACTCACAGGCCGGGCCGGGAGAGAGCACCCCGCCCACAGGCCGGGCCGGGAGAGAGCACCCCGCCCACAGGCCGGGCCGGGCCGGGAGGGAGCCCCGCCCACATCCTGGGCCGGGCCGGGAGAGAGCCCCCGCCCACAGGCCGGGCCGGGAGAGAGCCCCCCCCAAAGCCTGGGCCGGGAGAGAGCCCCTAACTCACAGGCTGGGCTGGGAGAGAGGCCCCACCCTGGGCCGAGAGAAAGCCGACAGGCCCCTGAGGGTGATGTCCATGCCTAGTGCTCATCCCAGGAAGCTCTTAGTCTGGGAACTCAAGCGCAGGCAGAGTCCCTGGGTGTTGCGAACAATGAGGCGCTGGGCTGCTAACCCACCCAGGGGCGCCTTGGAGGAAAGGCCTGGCCGTCCGCTCCCTGAAAGCCCAGCCACTGAAAACCCATGGGGCGCAGCTCTCCGCTGCGCAGACAACAGGAGACGAGTGGGCGTGGCCGGCGTGCCCTGTGCACTAGGACGGGGCTCAAGGTGCTGGAATTTCAATTCCAGAGCCTTGCTATGGGGCGTTGCTCTTCCGCTGGTAGACAGGCGGGCCAGGGTGGACCAGCTAACGCTGACCTCAGCCCTAGGTGATGTGTCCTATGGGCGTGTCTCATCCATTAACCGGATTCACCCCAGGGCTATAAGCCCCAGGGTGTAGGGGGCGGCTGGGGGACCACCTACATAGACCCGGCCACTAGGCTTTTCAAATCCTGCGTGGACTCTGTGACTTGACTTGTCTGCTGTTACAAAGGCAACTTTCAAAGCCTTTGGGGAGCAAGTTGGCCTGCCCTGCCCCTGCCCTGCCCCTGCTCCTAGTGGCTTTGTAGGGGATTCCAGAGCCCCCCAACACCAGTCTGTCCTGTGGCACATGCCTGGGCGCTGTGAGGCAGTGAACACAGTGTGGGGTCCCTAGCCCTGCCTAGGGCCCATCTGAAACCTTCAGAATAAATTAACCAACCTTCATACAGGTTCATTACCCTGGGGCTCCCACCAACTAAAAGGGGGGCCTCAGAGAAGAGGAAGGCTGTATTTTGGGGTGCATGCTTAAAGAATAGAAATTTCGTTCTAGGGGCTGGAGGACCAAATCAGGCTCTCTCTTTGCCCACTCCGGGGGAAGAGCCCCCCTCGTCCCCTCAGCTTCTGGCAGCCCCGGCCGTTCCTCGCCGTTCTCGGTTCGTAGGTCATCTTCCCATGTCGTCTGTCTCCCCGTGTGTCTTCATCTCCGTGGTGGTCGGTAGGCACCACCGAGTCGGCTCCCACTCCTAGCGGCCCCAAACGCAACAGAACGAAACTCTGCCCGGTCCCGCCAGCCTCACAGTCCTCTCCACGCCGGAGCCCGTCGTTGTGGCCACGGTGTCAGTCCATCTCGTTGAGGGCCTTCCCCTCCTCGCTGACCCTCCACCTTACTGAGCACGAGGAGGCTAACTCAGCCTCTGAATACCACTTGCAGGGGGAAGAGGTGGGGCCCCTGGAACTGGAGATCAAGAGGCTGACGAGGCTGATCGAGGAGCACAACACCAGTGTGATCCAGGCCCAGGTGAGCTGGCTGCGCCTGCAACAGGAGATGGTCAAGGTCACCCAGGAGCGCGAGGAGCAGCTGGCGAGCCTGGACATGTTCAAGAAGGAGATCCGCATCATGGAGCAGAAGAAACTGCGCATAGAGAGTGAGTGCGCAGGGCATGCGCAGGGAGGAGACACGCCCCCAGAGGCGGGACGCAGCGGGTGGG